AACGGTTGTTTTACCCTGAGTCGCTGCTGGATCTTGCCGCTCTGGGATCGTTTGGTTTTCCTGGCTGCGCCTGAATAATAGAACGACGGTTGTCGATTTTAGGAAATAAACAAACCAACAAATGAGGAAACTTCTTTAACAGTAAAAGCTGTCACGTGTTTCATTGTTATTGCCATTTGGTATCATGTTTAATATGAGTTTTCTGAAGAGGGACACCTCTGAATTTTGTTTTCCAGAATGTGTTGTAACAAAACAACTCGGTGAGGGAGGAACCCGGAGTACCCGGATGTTCCCCAGCTGACCAGCTGGGGTTGAAACTGGGAACATTTCTGTTTGTGTCTGAATAAACGTGTACACGTTTAGCCTTTTTATATAGCAAATAAATAACTGTATATTATTTGTTAGTTTCAAACTAAAACTTTTAGGTTATTTTATTGGAATCATTGTTTAGTTTAAATGATAGATCTCACATTTTTCTATGAGTGCAACACAACATTTTTTTGTTTGTTTGTTTGTTTATTTGAATTTATTGCATATTTTATCGCATTTTATTTTTGTATTTAAAAATTTTGCTGGCTAAACTGTAAAGCACTTTGGTCAACCTTAGTGTTTTTAAATGTGTGTGTGTGCTCGTGTGTTTTTTAATCACTATGGCATTGTCTTACTTATTCTAAACCCACAGTTTAGGATAATGTGTGGAAGCAACAAGAAATTCTAATCTAATCTACAACTTGTTATTTGTCATGACTAGTGAAATAGACATTTTAAATACTGCTCTTGACTTTCAAAAATCATAAGCAAACGATGCTGATTTATTGTTTCTGTCAATGGCAGACCAACAAGTCATCAAACTGAGGACACTACATGAAACTGATGATTTCATTTCATCCATATCAAGACAAACTGTTCACACCATTTCTGACTTGTTAAGTTAGACGTTAGGTATTTTTAACATTTGACAAGGTAAAGCAGGAAAAAAGCTGATGTGTTATTTATAAAAATAACAATAACAGCACTATTTTTAATTGTGACTCTGCATTGAGCATGCTGTTCATGGTGAAAAAGAGGCAGCTGTAATGTGATTATCTGCACCGCTGCTGCTCATGTCTGCTTAAAGGTCAATGAAGTAACAAAGCAAAACGGTTTGGGTTACACCAAAATTAATCCAGGTAAAAAAATCCAACAATGTCCAGTCAGATCTGGATCTGGACGTTTGGTCATTAAAGCACACTTCACTCTGAAATAAGAGTGTAACGTGCAAAAACTGTGAAATTAAAAGTGTGTATTCTCGACCACATAATGACACTTTAACATTGACATTTAAGGCCTGATTTCCAGAACACAAGTTTTAAATACTTTTTTTTATATATCTTAACCAAAATGGATTTAATTTACATGTCTTGCATATTCTAAATACTCCCCCTTTCACCTTCTCTTCTAAGTTTGATCCCCAGATTGATAACTTTGGGTCTGTGAGGATCCTACATGCTTCTTGGGTTTTCCATTGAAGATTTTGACTCGGGCTCATTCAGTTTTCTGTGTCACTCAGGTAAACTTCCACTGGATGGTGCTGCATAACCCGTGAATCTGTTGTGGTAGATTTTCGCAGTAGAATTTAAATCCTGTACTGGAATCCATCTCTTACTGATTGTGCTGTTTACATGTTGTTTTAGAGTTTCATATTATAAAGTAGGACATAAAGACACAATGCACTACACAAATTTGAACTAGAAGTTGTTTGATATGAAGAGGTAACTGGTAGCAAAGGCTACAAGATATTTTTTTTACCAAACATTTTTATTTAATAGTGCTGCATTTATTATTTTCTTGAATATTTAGCCTCTTGCTTTGACAGTTTACAATATGGTCTACACAATGCTATCTAAAGGTGATCAAACAGATTATATTCACTTTGACAGTCAACATTTATTTATTTTTTACATCAACCTTTATTTATAATTAGTCTCATTGAGTCACAATGACTCATTTTCAAGAGAGACCTGTTTTAGACAGACAACATATAAAGTGCAGACAACAATAATTCAACAAAAAGCAATTAAAATCAAATAAAAGAAGTTATAAACACAGTCAAATCAAGATGCCATGAAAAAACAAGGTAAACTAGAGCTGCTAGAGGATATAGAGTTCTTTCCAATAGACAAAAAGGTGCACAAAGTGGTGCTTGATACAAAATTGCCAGAAAGCCTCTAGGTATTTATAGCCTGCCTGAATAAAAAGGTTTTAAGATTAGATTTCAAAAGGCCCAGGTCAGAGATGGAGTGCAAGTCTTGAGGTAGTTGGTCCCAGGGTCTGGGTGCGGCGTCCGAAAAGGCCCGGTCACCCCAATGTTTGCATTTGGATTTGGAGCAAACATTAAAGATGTATAGGTTGATCTTAAGGTTCTCTTAAACTCAGAAAAACCTACCAGCTCAGCTAAATAAGGTGGGGCGACACCATTAATAGCTTTAAAAATGAATAATAAAAGTTTAAAATTAATTCTAAAATGGACTGGAAGCCAACGAAGAGAAAATAAAACCCGGGTGCTGTGCTCATGTCATGGTTAAAAGACAAGATGCAGGATTTTAAACCAGATTAAGACATTTGATGGAGGATTGAAAGATTACAGAGCATTGCAGCAGTCAAGCCTTGAGCTGATAAAAGCAAGAATGGCTTTTTCCAGTTTAGGATGATTTTAAAAAGGCTTAACTTTGGTCAAAAGACATCTCTGATAAAAGTTGGCCTTGACTACAGAGGCTCTATATTTGTCAAACTTCACATCCTTGTCAAAGGTCACCCTCAAGTTTTTAACTGTGGGTTTGAACTTGGATGTCAGAACACCAAAAGTAATAAGTCACCAAAAAATATACACTCCGTCTTTCAGAGTCAGAGATTCTTTATTGTCATTCGCACCTCATGTGGTACATGTGGTGGAGCGAAATTATGTCCACAGGGTCCCAGTTACATCCAAC